GTGTAGCTTGAGGTGATAGCTTTAACTGGTATGGTAACGGTATAAGCACCCACTTCGATACAGTCACCAGACCTCACACGACTAACACAGTGCTATATGATGACGTTATAACAAGACTTTTCACTACCCCTAAACACTGGCACATCACTATCACTTCCACTGGGAGTCTTGGCTTTAAGGTCCTCAAACAATTGTTTAGCCTACCACCTGGAGCTTTGCTAAGTCTAAAGATGCCACTTGCACAGCTCTGTACATATAGTCGATTTAGCCATTGTTGTGGTTTCGTTTCAAGGGTACAACAATATTCATGCGCCAGGTGAAGTAGTCCCGTATTTCATCGCGCGTTCGTTGTAGGAGTTGCGTTCGTTATAGCTGGGGTATGCTATAACGAACGGATCCTACTACGAATATTCCTATAACGAACGGTTTTACCTATAAAATTGAGAATGCTATAACGAACGCAACTCCTACAACGAACGCGGATGAATACGGGGTTCACTATAACTGGCGCACTGCCTGGCGCATGAATATTGTTGTACCGCGACCCACAACAAGAGCGTCAGGCGCCATCTTTGTCTCATTGTGTAGCCAGTGCACCACTGTTATTGTTGAAATTTCGTCTTTTGATGTGGAAATTCGCGTTATTTGTATAACTATTTTGTTATACAAGTATACAATTGTAACAATGAGTCGTCCAAAGCGAGTGAGAAAGCTAATAACCCTTGAAACTAAGAAAGAAATTATAAAGAAACGTGAGAATGGAAGAAGCATTGCGAAACTTAGTGATGTATGGGATGGCTAAATCGACTATATGTACGATTTTGAAGAATAAAGAGGAGTTAAAAACTGTGCAAGTGGCTAAGGGAATCTTTAGACTTAGCAAAGCAAGGTGTAATGTGATTGAAGAGATAGAAAATTTACTCTTAGTGTGGATAAAGGAGAAAGAAATGGCAGGTGGTAACATTAGTGAAGCTATAATTTGTGAGAAGGCTAAACAATTGTTTGAGGACCTTAAAGCCAAGACTCCCAGTGGAAGTGATAGTGATGTGCCAGTGTTTAGGGGTACCTGCATGCTGAATAACACTAAGGTAAGATAAAGTACCTTATTTTTTACATTTTCCACAGAATTTTTTCAGTGTTAAGTGGTTGTATTTGGGGGCCTGGAACGGATTAATCCTATAACGAACGAATGCTATAACGAACGAGGTTCTGGAACCAATTACGTTCGTTATAGCATACCCCACTGTATTACTATCTATCTATCTACAGTAGTTAATTATCTATCAACTACTCCGCCACCGTATTGTGGGATTCTATATATGAAACTTCGACGGAGGGAGAGTTTTAGGTCTTGTGTGAGGGGAGTAGCAGGTGTGTGTGTGTGTGTGTACATGTCTTCATTCCCGGCTGATTCTCATAAACTACTCAGAAATATTCCATTTAATTCCCTCAGTCATTTCCCTGAAAGTGGTAATACTCATAGAGGAAATTATATGAACAAATACTGTGACGGTTCAACTTATTATGGCGAGTGAATTACCAGAGGTGTGAGTTATACATGTAAGGATTCTTTAGGTGTGTTGTGTTATGGTTGAGGATATGAACAAGCGTGTGTGTGTTGAGATGTGTACTGGTAGTTGAAGCTCTCTCTCTCTCTCTCTCTCTCTCTCTCTCTCTCTCTCTCTCTCTCTCTCTCTCTCTTCACCTTATCATTCCTCCATTTCTTTGTCATTTCTGTGGCCCTTAATCTACCCGCACTGAAAATTGGGAGAGGAATAGATAATATAAACATTTAAGAATATCTAAATTTAAAGTTGAATTAATTTTTATCGATAAACAGTTGTTTTTAATTAAATTATTCGCTCTCATATCTGACTTTAATTGAATCGTTACTGGTACCTTAAATTTCTGTTTTTAATGTATTGTACAGTGCAGTATAATTATTATCTGATTTATTTATAACTAAAATATATAGAGTTTTCTGGTGAATTTATTCCTCGTTAATGTATATAAGTCATATATATATTTACCCTGAAAAGTGTGCTGCAGCCATTAGATTCTGGTTTAAGAATATCCACAGGTGAATGAAGCAATGGACATATATTTTACACGATAGATTTACAAGGTTTACAATGATATTTCAGTTAGTGAAGATTGACGTGTAATATGCAGGTAGGAGGTAAGAGTATCATACATTCAGGTGGTGTCTCAGCACAGAAGCATCAGTACAGGTGCAGGTTTAGGTATAGAGTAAGATATGGTAACTTCTATGAACATGGTGCCGTAATAGTTACAGAAAGATAACTTAGTACAGTGCAACTTCAGGGTTGAGATATACAATACAGGTACAGCCATTCACAAGTGGTCACGGTATCAGAAACTTTTGTATCTTAACATATTGTATGTAATTGTGTTTAATATGTATCGATACATTCAGAACCAAGTTAAATACGCCCAATAATGGAATAAGTTTTCCTACCTTAATTTACTACAGACATGAAGAGAAATGTATCCAAAAACTACCGAACCTCGACATATATACGTGGTACAGTAATGGAGTCAGCCTGCATCCTCATGAGTGAGTGAGTGTGTGTGTGGAGCTGTAGACCGTATGATCAGAAATAGACAAGTTGATGAGATGCAGGCAGTGTGAGGGAGCCGTGGTGTGTGTGTTGACTCAAAGGAGGCAGTGTGTGGAAGGTGATAATTTGATTAAATGTTGAGTTTTGTGTGCGACGACGAATTCAGATTTAGAAGTTAGGGAGGAAGAAATGATTGATTATAAATTCAATATTTATGAATAATAAACAAATGCTAGAATTCAGATATTTGTGTATAATGTAAATTTAGAAGTTAGTGAGGGAGAAATAACTTAGTGAATTAAATATGTGTACAGTGATCAGTACAGATTTCTTACATATAAAAGCTTGAGGTGGGGTGACAAGACGCGCTTGGCAGTAAGGTATATGTATCACAGCTTGAGCCTTGTTGTGTGTTGGCCAGGGGTGATGAGCTTACTCCTACACAGTCATTAAGGGCTCACGGAGATGTACGTTGATTTTGGTATTAAATGAACGTGCCTTAATTACGGTAGAGACTCGGTGTAATTTTGATTCCATTTTTGACGTCATTCTTGAGCCAGATTGGTGCATTCCGACATCTTTGTATATCAGGATTATTCCGTTTTCTGAAATAGAATATATTGTTGTTGTTCTTGTGTAGGTGTCTTGTGGTGTGTGTGTTTGTGCGTATTTTTTAGTTACTAGAAAACGACATAAACCTTCACTCCCACACGGTAGAGTCTAACATTGCTAACCAATACGCTCAACCCAAAGAGGAAAACATTACTACTGAATCTTGTGGTTTATTATGCGTGTTGAGATTGTCTTAATTCATACTTATGGGGGTGTCTGTGGTTTTCATTAAAGATGTAACGAGGGTGAATTATAAGACGCTGGCTATATTAAAATCACATAAAATAAAACTACCGTACTCGACTGGACACAAAATAAAGTCGCAGGTTTTAAAGGAGCCACAAAGTTGTTGACTCGGTAAACCATCCTTGATAAACATCTGCTGTACATCACACAAACACACACACACTTTCATCTCCAAAACGATGTGATCAAAACAGATGACGATAATGGATTGGATACACAGTTGTCCTAAGCATTTGATAACCAAGTTCTCACCTCCATCCCCAACACCCGCCACGGATCCCAACAAGGGCAGGTATTGTCTGGTGTTCTTTCACCCGATGATCGTGTCAAGGAGATGTTGTCTGTCAGGGTACAGTACACGTATCCGGGAGCTAGAGACAAAACAAAGACCATATGGATGAAACATGCTATCGGCTGGCCTCACCTCATAAACAACAGGACACTAACAGTACTTAACTTGGCTTCTCAGTCACGGCCATCCTGGTATGGATGACGTGGTCACGATGGTCTTCTTGTGTGGTTTGTAGTACTGTAATGGTAACAGATGTTATTTTTGTTACAAGCGGTCCAGTGTTTTCTTTATATCATTGAATCCTGCATTTTCTGCATCCAGCCTGTTTGTCCAGCGGTGTTAAAGTGGCAGAAAGTTATCCTTTTGGAGAACAGGAGTTGGGGAGGGGGGCTTGTAGGAATGTGAGGAAGACTGATGGAGAATGTCGCCCTCTAGCGGGAATCGATGGGACACGGGAAATAACGTCGTACACCGGGGAGAGGACCTTTGGTAGTGGTCCACCTCAGGACCGGCAACTAGAACAACCTTTTTCCTGCTGTCGCCCGTCAACACTCCAGTGTTACGTGAACGAAGGTATTTTTTTGTTGTAAAACTCATTGTTATACACCGCCCCTACCCCATTCTGCTTCTAGGTGTTGCGCGAAGTGCAGGGCGGTGTACATGTACACGTTGAATGTACGGTACCTCTACTTGTTCGATTTTGAATTTTTTTATTAAGAGTTTACCGGCCACTGATGTGAGACCAGCAGAAGAGCAGAGTTAATGGGAAGATGAGTTGAAAGTTACTGCGGAGGAAACACGACAACTGTACAGTCATAGAATAGAATTATAAAACGAGAACAACTGTACAGACCCTCTTCCACGCTTCCCCAGTCTCTTGTTGACCACCAAATCACTGAAGGCTTGATGTAAAGTCGTCCCATTAAGTAAAGACAGTAATATTTTTCGTGTACCGACTACCAAATACCGACGCTCTGTTTTACCGGGAACGTACTTCAGTTTAGTCTAGCTCGTAGTTTGTGGTTGGTGTGTTTTATTTTCACTTATATAACATCACTTATATAACCCCGTCTTCTCTATTTGTACACTTAGGATTGTAACGCAGCTCACTCTACGTTTGTCAAGGGAATGCACAATAAGTTTAACTGTGTGATAATAACCTTAATCAGTAGTTACGCCATAACAGGTGTCTATCTACATGGCTCAACTTGCGTCACCGTGAACTCTCCTGCGTCGGGCTGTATCACAGAATATATACTGTGTCTCACCTGGACTCTGGCCTCGCTGAGGTTGGTGCGCTTGGCCAGTTCCTCTCTGACGAAGGCGTCAGGGTAGTGCGTCCTCTCGAATACTTTCTCCAGCGCCGTCAATTGTACAGACGTAAAGGTCGTCCTGTTCCTCCTCGGCTTCTTCTTCCTCCCTTCTGCGTCCTCGTCTGTAAGAGATATAAAGAAATTAGTGAGTGAATGATTTCTGCTCTGTAGCCTCGCCTGAGAGGGAACTTGTATGAATTAATGGAGGATAGTTGAATTCTGTATCCTTGTGAGAAAGTTAGTTAGTTAGTTCAGGATCAAGATGGCAAACATGTCGAGAAGCGGAAAGGTCTCAGTGTAGTGCAACTTTGGCGATAATTTTGGCAGCCATCATTGTGCTGTTACCGAAGTGAACCAAGTGCACGTAGTTACATTCTGTCATCAGGTTAACTGTTGCTCCGCAGGGTAAGTTGAGCCAGTGTGAGTAGAGTGTTCCAGCAGACACCTTCACAGCAAACGTATTCTTATATGACACTCTAAATTCCAAGACACCATGATTCCTTTAAGCGATAGCCTTAAATTTCAAGCGTAATACTAATGACAGATTTTGGCGCATGAATGAATAATGGTGAGCCATGTAATCACTTTTCAATATCTAATTCTAAGCTTTTAAACTTCTGACGTCAGCCTGCATGGACATGAACGAAGAATATGGGACTTAAGATATCAGGGCTAATTATGCTTAATTATTATATAATTTATGATTTCATTCTGTTGTAAAAAATAATTACAATAGGATTGCGTTAGAAATACGTACATATTCTTAATAAACTTTAGTATACAAATAATTGTCTTATTACTTGTACTGTATATAAGTTTTGCAGCATTAAGATGGAGCAGGTGAATATGATATTACAGGTGGGGTCACGTATCGTGGACTGTGTTCACCACGCAACACACATCTGGTTTTAGTCGGTTATTATTCAGAAATTTATTATAATACTACGTATTCGTATATTTTTCTCTCGTAAAGTTATTGAAAGAAAATTTTAATAAAAATACTATTCTAAATTACCGTGACAAGTCCTTTTAATTACAAGTGATAACAGTGGAGGCAGGACTTCATGTCTGAGATGGCAGTTGACGTAATTATTATATACAAGCTTTATGATGAACTGTGTTTTTATGTTCTTCAAAGTTTTATCCTTTTTTTAAGTACCAAATATAACGCTGAAAAAAATCAAGGACCAATTTTAGTACAGTATAAGTGCTGCCGAAGCAAGTACATACAGGTACATTCAGGACCAAAGTTGATCATTGAGGAGGTTCAAAACTGAGGAGAAGCGGTTTCATTTTGTCTTGTGAATTTGACGTTGTGGATTGTACAGAGCGCACCTCATTGTCACCCCCTCCAGGATCTCAAACTTTTTACAGCTGTTTACACTTAAAAAGGAAGACGCAAATTGTTATTGGTAGTTTGATACTTTTACTATTCAGTGTTGGTATAAAGGAAGTGAAGAAAGTTTAGAATCAATGCCACATTTTGAAATAGCGGGGACAGGAATATTAAAGGTACAATTAAATAAAAATTTTGATATATAATGTGTATAACATATTAGTATATTGATATATAGTGTATTATGTCTGCCAGACGCGACGACCTACACTAAACAAAATGCGAGGAGTCTTTATCGTGTTGCTCCTCCAACCACAACCCACCTGGGGCTCTGGCGGCCTCCCAGATCCACGCACCATTTTCAGATTTTAACACTAAAGGTCAATCACTCCCGCAATAATGCAAAGCTGTATGTTAATTTTAGTTACAATCTATTCTGTATCAAAGAATTATTGAACATAAACCAAGATTTTGCACTATAAGATTATTACAGGGTCGTAACTCCATCACAAGCACACACCATGCCAGATATTTGTGATATAAGTCGACGTATGAAATTGGTTCAAATCTGTTGGCTGTATCAATATTTACCGACTGTAAGCCATGTGTGATGGATGCAAGGATATAAAGCGTTATGTTCCTTACTTTAGGCCGACGTGAGAAAATGTTGAACGAGAGGCTAATCTGAAGTGTCACCTTTCCCTAAGTGCATCTTCTCACCAAGTGGCACTCCTCCTTAAGTACCTCAAATCCCTAAGTGTCACTTTTCTATAAACGCTACCCTGTGTAAGTGTCACCCCTCTCTGAATACCGCCCTTTATAAAGTGCCACCTATCCTTAAGTGCCACCCCTCCTTAAGTTGCCAGCCTCTGCCTAAAGTGGCACAATCTCCCTCAGTACCGCGTCTCCCAGCAGGACACGTGTCGCAGCTCTCGCTAATCCCTCAGAGGAAGAATCCCCTTCCCTCTCATCCCCACACACTCTTCCCTACCATTCCCCAGATTTTTTTCGTGGGTATTTCTGAGGTGTGAGGCGGGCGGCGAGGATTACGTCTGATTATACTAGCAGTGGGTCGTAATCTAAGCCACACGGGGTAATAATGAGAGCGACATAAGTGACGTAGGAACAGCGCCACTTTGTAAACATCGCTGCCGCCGCCAACACAAGAGCGCGCTAATATTGGATTTACTGGTCTGTATATATTTGTTTGTGTGTTTTTTATTTTGTTTTATTGCCTTATTTTAGTCCATGTAGGTAAAATGTTGTATATAAGGTGGACAGGTCTGTTGTCTTTTCCGTCCATCCGTCATGTTCGTCTCTTCCATCTGTCTGTCCGCCAGTGGTCGTCTATTTTATTTGGTCGTACTGTACATCTCCTGTCATCGTCCTTCCATTCTGCCGTCGACCATCTCTCTATCCGTTCATCCATCCTCGTCTGTCTCTCATTTATCCACCATCCATACGTCCTCTCTCTCTCTCTCTCTCTCTCTCTCTCTCTCATTTGTGGTTGTTATACAGTAGTGGTTAGTGAACAAAAATGTAAATACCCACAATAATATTTACAACAACTGGTGGTGTGTATGAATGTATGTTTTGTTACGACCGGTCCTAAAACTGAATGAAACATCTGTTGTTATATAGGCTCTGTTGATTTTAATTGTTGGTAGTAAACATTAATTTTTCTTTATGTACAATGATGGTGAAAGTGGGTCCCGCAGGCGTGAAGGACCCGTTAAGGGCAGTGAGGATTCAACACACTGCAGACCAAAGCCTCTTTTTCGGTACAAAAGGCAGCCACTGCATCCGACCATCCTCACTCCCCAAACTGTGAAGTCAGGTAGTCATTGACAGCTGGATGAACTGGGGACGCTACGGGCACGAAACTGTGACAAAGGGGAGGCGAACGTTGAATCCTACAGCCGCCGTGTTCCAACAATAAGAGTACTGAGCGTGAAAATGGGGAGTAAGCAATAGACTTTGAAACAGCGTCGCGAAGTTGATTAATAATGTGAATATTGTCCAACCCTTGAGATTTTTCATACATTTTGTTGTTAGTGGTTACTTACAGTCATAAATAACCACAACAATAATGAGGAATTTTTGTTTGGTTTAAATGTGTAAGTGTTGTGGGCGGGAGGGTGAGGAGAAGGCAGAGACTGGGGCGGGTGAATAAAATTTAAAGCTATGGTCCCCAGAGATAAGTAGAACCTGGGAAGGTTAGTAAAGGCAGCCGTAAACTAGGAGTGGAGGGTCGTGGTCGCCAACCCTCAGACATAAGGATGACACTTTGATTGACTGATGCCTTGTTAACGCCGAGGCCAAGCGACAGATTTTGAATACTGGGATTTATATTTTATGGGATTAATTTTTGGCACTGTGAGAGTTACGTTGGTGATAGGAGTAAGTTACACCGCTTTCAGCCTAACTTAGGATTGGGGCCCAGTTATAATGGACCCTAACCTAACCATTAGTAATAAGACCAATTATAATATACTTTAGTATTATAAGGTTCCGGTTCTAATGGGCCCAAGTCCAATGGATAACACTGAAATCCCAGTGTAGAAGATAAAAAACACTAATTTCTACTGTAACCTTCGGTCATTTTCAGTTATGTAAGGTTGGGGCCTGTTAGGACTGGGGCCCAGTGGACCTGCAACCCGACATACCAGGATTATAATAACTACTCTTCAAGGTGCTGAGTGAGTGGCTGACACTCCCTCGGCGCAATGGTCGACCGTCCGTGACTTAAAAAGAGAGTCGGTCCTTCATGGTTCACTGTTGAGAAGTTCTCCACGGTTCACTCCGGGAGAACAACAAGGCGACCATTATAAACTGTGTCCGCTAGTAATAAGCCAAGGCGGTCTACTTCATGTGAGAGAATTACGACACGGGGTTAAACTTTCCTCCTCTAATGACGAAACAACAACAAAGCGTTCTAGTTCATGTGAAAATTAACGGCACTATAATTATGTGTGGATAAATTTTAACAGTGGCCTAGTTCATGTGAAAATTCCATCTTTTACAGCAATGTCTGAACTAGTACTAACAAAGTGGTCTTGTTCATGTGAAAATTAACAAGGTATCAAGTCAATGAATAATAACAAGGGATTCTGTTTCATGTGACAGTTACGATGTTCTTAGTCACAACGAGCCAGTCTTACCTTTTTTTATGAGAGAATTACGACACGGGAACCAAGAGTGCCAATCCTACTGCCTCAAAAAATGAATCGCCAGGAGTTGTGTGTGTGTGTGTGTGTGTGTGTGTGTGTGTGTGTGTGTGTGTGTGTGATAGAGAGAGAGTGTGTGTGCGTGTGAGTAAGAGAGACTGTGTGTGTGTGTGTGTGTGTGTGTGATAGAGAGAGTGTGTGTGCGTGTGAGTAAGAGACTGTGTGTGTGTGTGTGTGTGTGTGTGTGTGTGTGATAGAGAGAGTGTGTGCGTGTGAGTAAGAGAGACTGTGTGTGTGTGTGTGTGTGATAGAGAGAGTGTGTGCGTGTGAGTAAGAGACTGTGTGTGGTGTGTGTGTGTGTGCTGTTAATTGGATTTCACGGTTTTTGAGGTGGCGGTGGCGGCCTGTTCGTGTGCCGACGTAACCCTATACCCTGCCCTCACTGACTCACTACTCCCTTGCTCTCTCACTCACTCATTCTCTCTCTCTTTCTCACTCATGCATCCAGTCATTTCCTACCTCATTCTTTCATTCCCTCTCTCCCCTCCCTCCTTCCCTCCTCTCGTTCGGCACTCCATCCTTTCTTTCTTCACTCCCTCCCTTCTTCACTCACTCACTC